TCATGTGAGAGCTCGCCTTGACCAGGTGGAGACCTTGTAGACTTGAATAGCTGGTGGCCTTAAAAAGAGCATAAAGGACTCTCGGGGGATTTTTGTGGTTTGGCTTAATGCGAGAATTTGTGGGGGGCAAAAAGGATGAGGAGAACCAGAAATTGACTGCAGCACTCAGGCAAAAGTTGTCCTGCTACACCTGCTGTTGATCATTCCTTTCCAGCTAATGACTGTGGGTCTCTGTGACACACAGCAATTCAACACTTGTTAACACACACACACATGCACTCTAACAGCATAACCCATCTCTATGCCTTCTTACTACATCATATCAGTGGCAGCTTGACCTTCTTGATTTATCAGGATTCCAGTAGAGGGCAGAAATACAACAGCGAGCCACTGTATTTCACCCACATTGGTTCCAGAAACACACAGACCCATTCCCTGACTTTGACAAAGCCAAGATGGCTGCTTTCGTAAGAGGATGTTTCTCTTTTTTATTTAAACCCTAGTCTTAACCCATTCATTTGGTCCTTGTTACAGATATGAAACCTTTTGAGTACAATTGTATATCAGTCACAATACCACAAATCAAGCTGCAAGAAACCTTCCTATTATTTCTGCACAGCGTAAATGTATATACTGCTTATGAAACGAGGCGCCATGGTTTTAGGTTTATTGGTTCCATTTATTATGATGAGTGTTTGTTTGAATTTATTGAATGTTTATCTAAAATAAATACAAATAATGTTCTAAAAGAGATTAAAATTGCAAAAAATTGTAGGGATGAAAATTTGTCATATTGAGATTCCTGTGTAAATGAAGTGTTCCTTTTCTTCAGTTAATTAGGAATTAGACACATATGGATCAATTCATTTAGCTAATGAGCATCTCTAAATGGTTAAGGCGAGACTCCATCCCTCCTCTCTTCATTTGTCTTTTCATTTCTTCACATTTTATTCCCTCACCCCTCTGTTTTTTGTCCTGCCTCCCTCCCTTCCTTTGTATTGACGCCCTGGGACCCCATCTGGGCCCTTTGGAGGCGTGAAATGCACAGTAATTATTAGTAATCATCACACACCATCAGAAACGGATCCTAGTGCTGTAATTACATGATAAATGTCTGCCTAACACATGCCCTCTATTTAGCAGCCCCCTGGAGACCAAGGATAATAGACAGCTAACAGGGATCCGCAGAATGGGCCTTTCAGCGCTGGCCGGGGCTCATTGTCTACGCGCCAATACACCCTCGCCCCCCGTTTGGCAACAATGCAGACCCCGATCAATCCCCTGCTCTGCCCCCCTATCCAGCCTGCTGACCCCTCCTCATACACACATATCCCTTGTCACTGCTAAGTAGACAGCAACGTCAATCATTGGCATTACACTGCATTGCTAATGGCTGCCAAACAATTTCACAGGAGAGAAAAGAGTTTTGTTCAGCCATTTATCAGGTAATGGTGACTTTGTTTAATGCTGTTGCTGCTGACCCCTGAGCAAAATGTGATAATTGGAGTTATCATTATCTGCGTGTCTTTTGTTGCTTTTTCATGAATCGTTGTGATCGGAATGTAGCCAACATCTGGCTGCTTTTGATCAAGATTTTTATGGCTGAACTGCAAGAATTGTGATAAGCTTTTTGCCTATATGCTTGCAGTAACACACGTGCAAGGACTGCATGCCTGCAAGCCTTAAACATTCTGGTTTATTCCAGTTCTTCCAACGTATGCATTATCTTGCAGAAGAAGATATACTGTGACAGCCTAGCATGCAATAAAAACCTACACATGATGGGACTTGACTTCTCACTTGAGTAGCCACATGGCAAATTTAAATTAAAGTGGAAAACGTTAATTTGGAGTTACAGGCATATATTGTGCTTGTGCAATCTAAGCTACTTATTTATATAGAGTAGCATTATAACCACAACATGAGTAATGGCTTTTAAATGAATTATAATCCCTAAAAAGCATTTGATTTATAATATACACAAAAAATGTATAATTTCCTTTTTCCAAGTTTAAAATTATAATTTTTTGTTCTTCCACATCAGTTCTAGTTATTCAGAAAATGTCACACTAGATCTCACCTAAGTTAAAACATGCAAAGTCACCTGCAGGCAGGGTGTAACTCTGAAAGCAGCAGTCAGAACTGACAGTGACAGTTAGGAGAGTGAAAGAGGCCACCAAGCCTAAAGGAGACTGCCTCTGCAGTTTTTCGATGCAAATAAGGCCTAGGTGAGTCAATAGACATGTGCAGGGCAACTTTTACACAACGCTTTTATATTAGTTTTTCATCGACTGTCACTGTACCTGAATCTACATATGGAATGATCAGATATGCATGCAAAAAAGTACGCTCTTATCAAAATGCATAGAGTGAAATGAGGAATCGTGTTTGTGGACAACAAGGGGAATTTGCCTGAGATTTGCCTAGCTGGCTCTAAACAACGGTCAACTATTCGGGGATATTTTATATATTGCCCAGGTATGGCCACAAGAGTTTTGGCTGTTAAGCAAATTTTATATACTGTCTTACATCTGGCCAGAATTTTAACAGTAATCGCTTTAAATTTTGGCATGCACACTGTTTATTTCTTGTTCCTGTTAACTCATGAATACATGCAATAACTGATTTACAAACATGGGTGTCAGTTGATACAATGGAAAGCCCAAATTACCTGTTTACCTCCAGTAACTGTTGAAATGGTCTCTTACAGGAAGAGGGTTGTGCTTTAAGACAAAGGCAGTTTGAGTTTAAACGGAGGCCCACAGTTTTCCATGCTACCACACACTGTTAGAGACTCTAACAATACTTTATTTTACGTGTAATATGGCGACATCTTTAATTTATTCTGACCTTACTTATCCTTTTACTGGTTGATTTTTTAGCTTCTCTGAGTTATTGCCCAACATTGCCATGACCACACATACAAACTACAAATGTAACAGCTCTGCCTGAGTACAAAACCGAAAGCAGACACTGAATGAAAAGCCGAGCAATCTCAGAGTATGACAATAACAGACATATCAACTATCCCCTAATTGATACAGCTAGGCGGTCAGTCAGTTACTTAATGAATTGCTAATAGTCCTCAGCAATGCTATGAGTGACAGGGCCCAAACATTCCACCTGCCTGATGCTGCCCGGGGATTGAAGCGGATGGAGATGCTTCTCATTAACGGAGGCAGGATGCTTGGTGATTGTTCAGTCTTGTGTGGAGAGGCCTCTTCCTCATGGAGGCCACGCTTCTCTCTTAGCTAGTCTCCTTAGCGTCAGACAGCCAAGCATCAGAGTCACCGACAATGAAGACTTGATCAAAGAGACATTCCACTGAGCCTGGCTGAGCAACGGGACGGGATGACGGAGCAGAGCAGAGAGACTGACTGAAAGAAAGATGAGAAGAAAGAAGAAAAGAGAGAGGGGTGGTGGGAAGAAAAGGCTTATACTCTGCATAGTAATGCTGTAATTAGAGAGTTTGCAAAGCATACTTCTGCTGGCTAAAGAAATGGGATTGATCTAGAAGTCTGGCCAATGACACTCTGAAGATGGTTGTTGTGGGATTGGGATCCTGTTAAATCATTTACGTTGGCTTAACAGGATGGGTGTTAATCACTTTTCATTTATGTGTATTTATATATTGTAATATATTTTTTTCTGTTCTGATCAGCCGGAGCTGCAGTGAATGACTGCCGGTGTATCACTGAAAAGATATACTGGATAAAAGAGTTATGCGCATGGGTAAGAGTCGAGCTTTATACGCCATGCATTTATTTCTGTACTTGTCACCAACTGCAGCATTATTTATCTTAATGCATATAACTACTAGACCTTCAACTGACCCATAATTCCCTACTAATAACTGCTGTGGGCAGAGTGATTATAGCTTTTCATTAGTGCCGGCAGCTTTTACTAGTGCTATCCCAGCTAAAGGGCCCTTGCTGTAATTGTTAGCCATTATAAATATAGTGCGTTGAAGGTATAAGGGGGGTAGTGATGCCTTTTTGTTAACTGCTGATGATTGAGCAATTAAACTTTGGCAACTTAATTACCTCTCCACAGAAACATGGCTATGAGGCATTAGGACTTACATTATGGTAAACATGTTGTCAGAGATCAACGGCCTTGACCTGCGTGATATTTATTTGCAGCTGCTAGAACAGGTATGCAAGACATTTACTGTCAGGTGCAAACTAACACTGTAAAGTTATATTTTTTTTTATCATTTTTATTAGTTAAAAAATAAATATTTCAGTAATTATCACAATTTCATTTACATCAGTCATACTGCTGTTAAAAGTAAAATGTACCATTGGTATTTTCTATTTGTATCAGCACTGTTATTATAATATTAATTCATGCCTGACCACCAGCCTATTAATTAACTGCCTACTTATTGTACACAGAGAGAAAAATCAGGACCCACAAGCGGCGCCTCAACTAGTTTGCAGCATAGAAAGGCTAACAGATGTTGTATGGAGAAAAACAAAAAACACCAGAATAAAAAACCAACATCCATTCATCAGCCCAAGTAGGAATCACACTATGCAAGCTCCTCATTAAGTGGCATTAAAACTGTGAAGGTCTATAATTATCGAATAAATCCTTTCCCACATGAATGAATTCATCTGCGTGCCATAATTCTTCCCCACACAGAGCAGCTCTGGTGGTGAATGAGCCTTTTGTGCACCACTGTGGGAAGGCTTTTGTGAAATTACACTACTGCATAATGATGCTAATCATAAATTAGCATTTCAAGATGGAGCAGCATGTTTGTGTGTTTGAGTGTGTGTATTTTGTGCACGTGTGTTTATATATAAATTTGGCCATTTCAGTAACACACAACTTTTTTTTTGTTTATTTTTGTTTCTGTTTGGGCCCATCCACCAATTTTATATACTGTCCACATATTTTGTTGATAAAAAGTTATTTACGAGCCTTTCAGTTGTAAAATTCAAAATGTCTCTTGGTTTGTTTTATGTCTCATGGAACTTTTTATCCTCTCTCAGGTAGTCATTGGAGGACAGAGAGGATGCAACGTCGACTAAAGAGAAGCTAAACACATGTGAGTTTGCTTCCTTCACCCCACTCCCTAATTCCCTTCTGGATCGATATCTTATAATAATCTTTGCCTCCTCTGTCTTCTTTGTCTTAAAACTACAGCACAAAGAGAGGCACAAGCATGCAACCTGCAACACAAACACAAAACACAGGCATTGTGTATCCTAATAGGAACCACATGATGGTGATATTAGATTCAAGTTTCTATTCACTGCCCGAGAGTAGCAGGTGTGTGTTTCATTACCCACGAAAGAAAACACGACTCCACTGTGGGCTTCTTAATGTAAGGGCTTGACCCACTAATGAAAGGAGACAAAGAGACCAATCTAGAGGCAGCGCCCACTCTGTGTCCACTTAGCACCAAGCTAGAACCTTTGTCAATTAAGACCTGTCTGTTTGATGCGACAATTAACAAGGAGGCGGTTGGTCATTAATCCCAATATGGTTTCACTCACGATTAAGACGCACATCTTTGTCACAAACATTCATGCAGTCACAGAGTTTGCTGTAAACATCTTTGGAGTGTAAGGGGGGAAAGAAAAAAACCAAACAAATGGAAAGACAGTTGCGAGTTTGTTTGCATTGTGGCATCTTTCCCTAAATGATTATTAATATTGAATTGTCTGCTGTTTCAAATTGAGCAAATAAGTCATTTTAATAAACACCGACTCTAAGTAGGTATGTAAAAACATCTGTTAGCTTTGACTGATGGACACTTGTCACTCACAAATGATGATTCAAACTCGGTGAAGGTGGCTATAAGTTCTTGATATTTACTCAGACTCGTAAACATTGCTTTCAATTACTCAAACAATGACTGTCGGTGCCGTAGGTGTCAGGGTTATACAGAAGCTCATTTGCATGAAAAAGATATTTGTGTACTCAGAATGAAGCACACATGTAAATGATAACTGATGCATTGCGTGTTACAACAAAGGGATACTGATAGATATCCACATTTAAATTTCAATACTATTTACTTAACCACAGCTTTTCTCTGGAAGGGAATTATTCCAAACACATTGTTGTACATTTACAGTGAGTCATCAGTTGTTTTCCTCTTTGTTGTTGTCCCAGAATAAGGTCAGTGGAAAACATGACCACAGTGCTTTGCATCTTTCTTAGCTCTGCCAAACAAATGGGGTTTGTATATGCAAAGCATATGGGTTTTTAAAGATAGAACTTATTAAACAAAGACACCAGAGGTGTTCCTCAACACCACCACTACTCCTACAGTGTTTTACAATGTAATTCTTGAACAGTTTCAGAGACAAATGAAATCCATTGCACATATATGCCAAGAGGAGGATGCTTATTAACGCATTTTTGCAACTCGAAAGCAAGAGGAGAAGATGTGGGGGGATCTCAGTTTGAGATTTTTTGTGTAATTCGTGTATGTAACACCCGCTTCATCATCTGAAGCATGTTTCAGTAACCCTAGACAGGAATAACTTTCATCAACAGATGGACAAACACAATCTTAAAAATGAAAGCCGTTACAAAAAAAATACATTTTAGCCAACTTGTAAAGAGTGACAACTAAACTAGTTTGCAATTCACTGGATGCTGAAGGTATAGATTGGAAAACAATGTAATCACCAACAAAGATTTCAGAAGGACGGCTTAAAGCTGTAGCATTGACTGTGCACTAGGTGGTGCCCCGTCTCTTTACCAAGACAAAAAACACATTGTGTTACTTTTCGGCCAAACTCCACACTAAAGCTGTAGTGACGGGGCCGTACATCCGAGTAGAGTGATAAAGTTTGAGTCATGCGTGACAAAATCTTTTAGGTTACTGTCAAAGATGCTGTCTGTGTGTCTGTTTAAAGTTCAAAATTAAAAATGCACAGGGGGTTGCTTTAAAGCGAGAAGAAAAAAAAATGCTTGAGCACATGTGTGAAGAGTGCACTCTTTCAAACATGTATATTGGCACACAATGCATTCCTCTTTCTCTCCGTCTCCCTCTAATGTGATCTGAGGGGAGAAAACTAGTGCTGTTTGATTAAAAGGGATTCAGGTGATGAGGGCTTGAGTCTCAGTGCTCAGGGCCTATAGTTTCAGCCTGGCCCAAGGCAGCAGCTGGAAGCATAATTACATAGGCTAATTTATACATCATTAAGGCCTCCATATAAGTCACCCGTTTTGAAAAGAGCAGTTAAGCTACTTACACTTTTCACAAAACAGCAGCAATTCTGTATAAAATGAATGTATGCCGTTCTTCTGAAGGCATATGGTATATTTCTCACCTATTAATAATTCAAGTCGAATGAGCAAAAATTAGTTGGCTCGGTTACCGCTGCATTTGTCCCACATTAATTTCACCGACATTTTGTAAATGGGGCTATTACGCTAAAAACAAAGCAGAGTGAATGACCACGGTTTGCCGTACTTAGGAAAAGAGAGGGCCTCATTCGTACACCTGTCATTTTCAAACAAGGCACCATTATGGCTTGCAGAGAGGTGATATCACACCTTTCATTGTAGCTGCGTCCCTTCTGTGGAAAAGCTGTAGCCATGAAATAGTGAATTTCTGTGAGAGAAAGCCATTTGTAATCTCGAAATCCAGACATTTACTTTTCACTTCAGAGTCTGTCAAATTACTGCGTTTCAGTGGGCATTTCAAAATAAAAGAAGCCAATAATTTGCATTTTTACTGAGGCAGTTCACTGTCTGCTTTACTCATATTCTTCATATTCTTTTCGTCTAACAAAACATACACTCAGTCTCTCCTAAACTCTTAAACTCATAACTAAGGTTTAATTGAAATCAAATTAGGTCTTCTTTATATGGGGAGCTGTAGAGTAGACAAGTGAACAGGTGTTCTTTTAGATATATCAAAGCATATACATTTTAACAACCCTTGACACCTTACATACACACTTAGTTTGAGATGCGCGCACACACCGACACACTCGCATACACATTCACCATCAGCACAGAAGGAGCAGCTCAATGGGGCTGAGCACATTGTTGCTTTAACCTTCTGCGCCAGTTATCCCTCTCAGAGCTCCAAGCCTTGGCAGCTAACTCTATTGGCTTTTTGTCATGGAGCCTTGGCTTGTACAGTGGCTGGGAGTTGGGGGGAGAGAGATCAGGGAGAACAAAACGACCAGAAAAAGTCTTTTCTTTAACATTATTTTTGAAGTGAAGTGAGTGTGAGCAATGGCTAGAGGAGGCCTAGTCGAGGCTTTTATGGGCCTTGTCATCTTGGGGTCATTATGCTCAGCAGATCATTAGGCTTTGAAGAGGAGGCACAAGACAAGGTGCCCACAACCTCTCAGATGTGCCACAACTCCCCCACCTGACCCCTCTGCTCCTCATCAGGGCTAAACATCGCTTAAATGAACCGACCTCTGGCAGCCTCAGCTAAACGTACTGCAGCATCTATAAGACTGACTGATTTTGAAATGAATAGAGGGATGTTGCACACTTCCTTTCTAATCCTCTGGGTAGCTTAAAGTGCAAAATGGGTTCAGAAGTGGGTGCCTTTTGTCCCCTTCATCTCCAATCTGCAACCTTCCGCGGTGTGTGGTTGGAAACACAGATGAAGGTTTCCCAGCTTGGTCGAGAGGACTAACACAGAAATGGCAAAATCAAGACTTTTCATGTTATCTTCCAATTGCAAGTAGTGATTGTGTTTGTGTCATTAGGATATTTTACATGATGAATTCTTTCCCTAATGGACCCAGTAGCATGCAGGAAGAAACCAGTCAAAGAGAGGTCATATCTCAAATGGTTCACGTTCATAAATAAAAGGGCAGCAACAACTGAGGCGCTGTTAGATTCGTATGGGCTACATTTACAAACTCAGCTCTGTCGTTCTCATCCTTCCTCCGCTAGTATCTCTTCCTCCTTTGCTTGAATGTCACCACACTGCAGGAGGATTTAACGTTGCTTTTAACCCTCACCGCCTCATAATTACCTTGACATTTACCCTGCATTCAATCAAGTTTTTAACAGCAGATTTATTGCAATGACTTTTTTGTATTGCAGAAGGCAGCAGTAATTATGCAGGTTATTAAGAGTCTTCGTGTTAATGCAGTTTTACCCATGTAATATTCGCTGTGCTCTGTTTTCCTGTATGGAAGAGCACGGTGTCAGCTGCCTTAAGACAGAGTGACACAAGAAAGGACAGAAATACTATTAGATGAAGTATCAGATGACTTGGGGTATGAGGAGTGGAACAGGGTAGCACTGCCTATCCTTCCTTTATTGCTCAGGTTATTATCACAACTGCTGGGGAATTGTCGAGACGGGGAGATAGGAGTGGCAACGATCCATCCGGGACTCGTTCATCACCACACGCCGCAGCCCCCCGAATAGAAATTACATCTGCATCTGAATTAGTAACATTATTCGCCAATTTGGCTCAGAGTGAACATTGTTCCATTGAAGGTGGAATTAAATTAGAAAATGAGTGAGTCTTTAATTTTCAGATTATAAATCAGGGAATATAATTCACCTCCTTGTACCTTAAGGGCAATCACATTATCCTAAGCGACATTTTATCCTCAGCCCCACCAAGTGATCTCATCATAATACAGAGTCACACACCAATCATGCTTCCTAGGGAAGCAGGAAATACATCTTCTGCTCCAGAGTTAGACATAAAATATGGGTGTCTTCTCCTGTGCGGGAGCTTATTTTACATGAAATTTGATGGTCGTTTTGGACTCGCAAACACGGCAAAGTATTACTTGGTTCGAGCGATATTGCTTTCCTTTTTTAGCCCTCTTGAAGCATAATTTTGGCAGTTGATGACAAGTTGAACATCCAGAATATCAGAGTCTTACAACAGTAATTCACATGGCACTTGGAGAGTTTTATAAATGGAAAACGTATACCCACAACGAAAGTTATCCAAAGGTGTCAGCTGTAACGTTATGGATTTGAAACCACTCAAAAAACACCCCTGTACTTTTGCTGCAGTATGCGTTTTTAGTGCGACCCAAGCCTTTGAAAGCATCTACCATGGGGGGAAAAAATCTTCTGCAATAGCATGCG